TTCGTACTGTTTACTCCCTTTTCGCGAGGTGCCACTTAAATGGACAGCGTTGCCAACCGTTGCGATACACATCACCACACAACTCAGTGCTGAGCCGTCACTTTACTGCTAGTCAGGCTCATCCATCTATCCACACGGTCTTTGCTGAAGTGAGATGCGACACTGGTGAAGGTGCGGTGAATGCCCTGATTGTACCACAAGTTGCGTTTGCTGGAACAGCGTGGTGAGTGGGCTGCAGCCCCACTCTGCCATCCACACCCACACACACACCCACACACACACACACGCACACACACACATACACACACACAGCCAAAGCGATCATCCTGAATGCTCCCCTTCCACAAGGCTGCTTCGTGTTCCCTCACCTCCACATTCGAGATTCTCTCCAAATGAAACGGACGCATTAATGCAGAGGCTGCACTTCACTCCGAGGATTCCAGGCTAGAGATTTGGTGCTATTCTGCAGCCTGCATTCTACAACTCATGCCCATGGTACGATGTGTATTTCAGGTCAAGGCAGGATGCATCCCTTCCAAGCCATATCCACCCTCCCACTGTCAGTGATGGTCTCCGAAATTCTGGGTCGCCTACCCTACCCCCCCCCCCCCTCCTGCTCTTTCATTTACAAACATCTTTGCCGTCAACCATCAAATTGGAAGTGTTTCACCACTCGCACAAATGGTGGCCACACTCTAGGTGAGCATTGTATCCTCGATGAACAACGACAGCACCCACTGTTCTCGTTCATGTTGAAGACACTCAACGCTTCTCCAATGACCAAAATTGAGGCGCTGCGTTAGCGTTGCCTTCCTCTTGCCATTGACGACACCTCGATCATGGCGCACACTTGGATGCTGGTCCTACCCTGTCCTGCCACAGGTCTGGTTGTCACAGCATGCCAGGCAAGTATTTCACAGGCAAGTATTTCCACCCTCACACCTCACCCCTCATTCAGCATGCATGGATGTGCTGTTGCAGATGAGAGTGAGAATGAGGATGATGTGGTGACAGGGATGGCAGAGAGGGCTGCACAATGCCTCTGCCATAAATGTGACCTCACACTTGGCATAAAACTTGGCGAATGCGACCTCACAGCCTCCAT